TATCTCAGTGCTTGTGTCAATAAACTCTGTTAAACCTTTTACTCCAGTTTCCGTCTCAGTGGTGTTCTGCATATTTGGGTCACACCAGTGAACCCATCATGACACATGTTCTCTTTTTCTATCCCCAACATCATTCCAGATTTTTTCTTAAAATTACATTTTTGTTATGTATTGAAATAGCTTAACCTATGTTTTTGCCTGACTCTAAACCTTTACAAATTTATGGAGTGTTTCTTTTTCTCTTCATCAGCACCTTTTTGATTCATTTTTATGTAAAACCTCTTTGCAGACAGTGATAGTGATATACCAGAATCTTAGGGTTCCTAAATGAACCTAAGGAAAGTCTCGTTATAGGCTTAGAATTTGGGTCAGGTGGTTTAAACTTTGAGAACTTGAAAACCATGGTTTTATGTAGGAAGTTGGTAACTGGTTGATCCGACAAAGATACATTCATTTGACCAGGAAGATCAAATTAAGTTGATCAGGAAAACAAATACTGGAATTGGTGATTATTGCACTGTTGTCATTGAATTCTTGCTTGGGATTCTTGCAAGTGAACCATTCTGCTATCCCCTTTTCAGCAATTTTTTAGGAGCAGCGATAATTGCCCAGTGAGTAACTCTATGACTTTGGCTGCAAGGTGAAAAATAAGTTTGGAGTATGTAGTGCCCCACTTTCTGTCAACTGAGGTGCTTACTTACTAAATTATTGATAAATATGACTACATTGTAATATTTAAACCTGGAGAGACTCACACAGAGAAAAGTTGCAATTAGAAAATATTAAATTTGTTTATACAAGTAACACAGACATATTATTCAAATTATTTCTGTGTAAGGAAAACCAGCTGATTGCGAGAACTCATTAATTCTCTGCAATCCCTTGCACTTAGTATGCATGCTAAGTACATTTTGACAGCGACAGTGGAGAGGAAAACTCTCTTTTTACAGGAAGAAACCTCCAGTAGAACCAGGCTCAGTTTAAGCCTGGTCCTCAAAAATTATGTGGATAATGAACAAAGCATTGCCTGAATGCATGAGGCCTTGATCCAACCACTGAGCCTTTAAGCTTAACATGCTAATCGGACTAACATCTGACGTCCATATGTCTGTGGTAAAACATGCATGCAATCAGTTCTTATTGATCAAGTTCTGGATGTGTGTTGCGACTACTTCAACAAGGGCAGGCAGAGACACGTCTAAGAAGAAGCGATAGCTCAGGATGGTGTAAAGTGGCTCCAAAAGCGCTATCACATTACATTAACCCGGGTTCTCAACGATAGAAAAAGGCTGGTTGTGGAACGTTACAAATTCCATCACTTTGTCGTTAATAGTTTTAGCTTTTTTGACTGTCTCTTGAAAAGTTTTTACAGCTTTCAAAAGCCTTCTAAATGGAGACATCTGTCCTCCATGTTGTTGTTGTCTTAGCCTTAGCACCGCTACCTGCCACAGCAGCTGCTTTGTCCTCTTTCCATATTGCTTTGCCACAATGACGATTATTCAGGTAAGCTATTAGGTTTATTATGTTAAAACCTAAAGCCTTTTTTCCTTCTCTCTGAATTCTTGTTGAAATAGGTTTTGCAAACTAAGAAAAAAACACAATAGTGGAGACATGTATGTTCATTAACAGTAAGGTAATGAAGGAGCCATGCTTGGGTCCTGCTTGTAAGGCACGCAAAACCCCACTTCTGATTTATCGGCTGTTTTTTTGGAAAAATGTATGTATCAGGCCAATCAAAAATTTAGCCAAATCGGAGAATATTTTATTGTGCATCCCTAGTACAGATATAGGCTTAACAGAAATCTCCCATTGGAACATGAACCAACCATGTTTGAATTTGCAAAAGAATCCAGTGTGTCCTAAGAAATCTGAGTTCATATTTGTTTTATTTGGGGCTCAGTTAAAAGATTGTTATACCAAACTTTAAATATTGGACTTTCTTCTTTTTCCCTAAAATGATGATCAGGTTTAGACATAAATAATTTAACATATGTTAAAGTTAATAGAAATCATAAGCTTTAGACACTTTTAAAGCGATATGACTGAATCACTGTACCATTTATAAGATTTTGAAAAAGAAAAAACATTCATGCTGATTTTGCACAGTTTCTACCATAGTCAGTTTAATAACCTGCTTCTATAATTTTCACATCTCTGATGTTGGTGCTATTTTCAAATATTCATTACTTTAAAAATGTCCAAAGCTGTATAATGGTTATTTATTCTCCCGGTGAACAGTTTTTATATTGTTAACACACTTTATAGTACAGAATTTTATTGTTTATCTTTTAACTCTTCACTAATATGTTATTTTTATACATTTTTCTAAGGTCCATATTTGTGTGACCATTTTTTCTATAATCTTTTTGCTGCTGTAAACAACACAATTTCCCCATTGTGGAACAATAAAGGGACTTTCTATTCTATTGATTCTCCACAAGTCTTAACCCTAATGTAATTGCAGCATTCCTACCACGGCCTTTTGTTGCTATGTGACTTCTCTGCAACTTACTAAGAAACATTTGTCAAAATATCATTTGGAGAATTGTAATATATTTTATCATGTTTGTATCATTTTCACAATGTGTGCCTTAAAGAATAGTTTAACAAAATTTAATAGGAGCTGCTCCTGCTGCACTCATAACCAGTCATAGTGCAATAGATCATCTTACTGCTGGGACAGGACATATTGCAATGCTTCCCTGCACAAATAATATTATATAGTATCCTTATACTCTGCAGAGATTTGGGGATAAAATCTCCTATTGAATGCACATACTTAAAATCTCTTTAAATCTTGCTCAAGATGCATATAATGGGTCTGTTTTATTCAGAACATGGATGGCTGGTGCTTGCCTGGCCTAGGTTTCCTATATCATCCATATTAAAAACAGATTTGTTCCACATGATATTTGTTCGCAACCTTTAGAGCTAAACAAAGCAAAGATATAACTTTTACTATCTTTGTCAATCTGAATAACAATAATACAACAGCTATAAGAAAATACTAATGCACTGTACTCCTCTCTGCATGACAGCCTTTTATTAGACAAATTATGACACACTTCACCATTGAAAAAGACAGTAAGTAAGTACATTCAGATCAGGTCATCTTCACAGTACAACCATGTGGAAGAGATGACTTGACATCCAGTTTTGTTATCTCAGCTATGTGGGGCTGATTTTTTTTTTTTCTATCTAGAGTTGAGTTTGGCTCACACAGCTGAAATTTGGCCTTTTTTTTTTAAATAAAAGACAATTGAAAATGTTTTTTGATTAAAAAAAAGATAAAGTGATTTTTAATTATAAGAAGTGGAATACGATTCCAGTACAAACAGGTTGCCTTTATAGATCCCTCATATATGTGCTTTTTCTTTTCTATCAAAAAGCCTGTGGCAGCTTAGATCAAAGTGTCCACAACACTTGTGGTAAAGAATCAGCTGGAAAGTTGGTGCGGTGAAACACTTAAATAATGCATTTTGGCATCATGTAACTTAAACTCTTCAGCACACATTCCTTGCATGTCTCAAATCTCTTTGTTCACCAGGCTGTAAGGCGCTGAAAGCTGACTGCATTGGACTGTTTTAATCAACATGTCTGTAAGGCTGCCCTCAGTTTTCACACTCAATGGAAAGGTGGGCACTGGGTACACTTTATGGTTAATTAAGAGGCAGAAAGTCTCCTCCATAAATACTCAGAGTAGACAGACATTAATAAACACTTGTGCTCCAAGTAAAGCATTTAGCAACAGTTTGAGCAACACCAAACCTTTAGACAAAGGAACACGGACTTTAAATGTCAAGTAAATAAACATCTACACATCACATATTTTTTCAGAACAGGACAACATCACGTTTTATATATGATGTAAAGCTGTAGCAGGGAGGTCTCTTGTGTCTATTGGAAGTTAAACAGACCCCCACCACCACTAAACCTTTTTGCTCAGTAGCTCAGGGAACACCTGTTCTGTACCCTGCCCCATGGAGAGGGGCATCTGGCTAAACAAATGAAAGTGGAACTATCAGAGACAGCCCAAGGCAGCAAATCTAAAGGCTTAGCTGCACCCCTGCTGGCCTTGGGGTTCCCAACAACACATATGACCATAGGACAAGTTAACAGTTGTTGAAAAGATTACACTACCTTGTTTTTCCAGTAGATTAAGTCCTTGCAAAAGTATACATACCCCTTAATGTTTTTCACATTTTGTCTGTTCAAAACCACAAACTTCCACGTAATTTATTGGGAATGTATTTGATAGACCATTTTAATATTTTAAGTGGTAGGAAAGGGTTGCATGGTAATTGTTTTCCTATAAATCAAAATCCAACATGAGCAGATGTCGGAAATTGAATTCAGGATCCCTTGATCAATTCTGAGTAGACTGACCTTTTATTAGCTCCAGGTTTAAGTTTTTTGGGATCTCTACCAGTTTTGAACATCTGGGGGAAGATATTTTTTCAGCCCTTCTTAGAATAGTAAAATAGCTGTGAGTTTGGAGGGAGATTATCAATTTATTTAAACCATCATGTCAAACAACTGATTCTCAGTTGGATTTAGGTCTGAAGTTTGTAGCCTTTGAGCCTACAGGGGGATTTTCTGATTAATGCTATCCATGCCTTGCCTGTGAAATTTAGTTTAGGCAACAGGTATGCTTACGTAATAATTTTGTCTTCTGTCCAAACTACAGAATCTTTCTAGAGTTGTCAAACATAGTTGTTTTTTTGTTAAAATACATAATTTTTAGTTTTATAAAAAATATGTTCTTATATTTTGTTTGAGTATGACTAAAAGAAGTATGTTTTTCAGACAAAAAATGCATTTTTAACATTTTAAAGACTTTAAGAACATGGGTTTCAGCTAAATGACATGTAAAAATGAAATAAAGTTACGTCTTTGTATCGCTTTAATGTAATTCTGCTGCAAACATTCTATGCAGATGCAGGATAGAAAAGGTTTCTGGAAATACCAAGACTAGTTTTTTCCCATTATACTTACATTTCAAAACCTTACTACTTATTTCTGTAAAATCTTGGGTAAAGCTTATTTAGAACCACTGTATAGATTGAAAATCATGTGGCACCAAAGCAACTAGTTGCAGATTCCTTATTTAGGTGGGTGTGCAGCTCTACCATACCTTTTCTAAATCTTGAGCCAATTTTTTGAAATCAAACCCTACTTTACCACAAAAGTATACCTTCTTAGACAGTTTAGCTTATTTGCTCCATATTGGGGCCTATTTAGTAGTGTTCTCTAAAAAACATTTAAAGCCTTCACAGAAAACCAGAATTTATACAGATATTAAATTACAAATAAAAGGATTATTTTTATTATATAGGTGTCTTCTGCATGATTTTTTTTTTTTTTTTAGTTTTGTGTTGGTCAATTAAATAAGAAATAAATAAAATGCATGTATGTCTTTAACAAGAGAAAATTAAACAAAAACTTAAGGGTTTGAGGACTTTTGCAAGGCACTTAAGTCACTATGACCATACGGGCTGTGCAAAATCTGTTCTGGAATGTGATTCACATAAAGAGCAACAAATAACAGAAATTTTCTAGTGAAATTTGCCTTAATAACCATTTAAAGCAAACATTAGCAAAGTTTGAAGGTTTATAGTTCATAGTAAAGTCCTATGATACTCTTGGCCCTGCTCTAACTATCCATTTAAATGTAATCCGTTTTTAATGTAAAGAGTAACCGCAAAATCAAATACAAACTATCCCTTTATAGAATTTTTAAGATTGTTTGTTGCAGATAACTTGTTCGCTTTACAATCATTGCAATAGGGTGCAAAATGCAAATATGATAGAGAACGGACAATATAACAAAGATGCGGTGCTTTGGTGATGGACACTGAGCTCAGCTAGAAGGAGGCCTCTCTATCAAATTATGCCCATGGCCCTGTACAACTTTGGGTCGGCTCTGAGGATCATTGCTACACCCAGTGACGCACCCGGTGGAGTCAGTGTAATCCGTTAGGGGTGAATGGAGACAACCTGTCCAGACTGATGTCCGCCTCACAGTCCTCCAAGTCGCACACAGAGTCAGTGGCATTTTCGTTGTTGTGAGAAAACTGTGAGATCCTGTCGAAGGTCTCTTCATGCTCAATACATTCAACCACGTTTGGGATCATGTTGACGTATGCGTTGGCGATCTCTTTGTGGAGGATCGTGTCCTGGTTATAGGAGACCAGTTCGTTGCTGATGTTCACGGTCTCTACGGGTGTGCTGGAGCAGAAGTAGCGACAGCCCAGCAGGCTGGCGAAGGCCTTCCTGAACTCATTATTAAAGGCGTAGATGATGGGGTTGAGGGAAGAGTTGGCCCAGCCGAACCACACGAAAACGTCAAAGGTCGTCTCGCTGACGCACGGCAGGCCCGCGTCCCGGTCCGCAGCCGGCCTGTTGCAGAACGGGACCATACAGTTTAATATGAAGAAGGGTAACCAACAGCACACAAATACGCCCATGATTATGGAGAGAGTTTTAAACACTTTGGTTTCCCGTTTAATTGAAGTTTTCAGCGTGTTATGATGTTGGCACTCTATTCTGTTGGTCCTGCAGCTTTGCGCGTGTTCCGCAGCTCTTTCCAGGGAAGCTATCCGTCTGATCTGGATCTGAGCAATTCGATATATCCTGGTGTATGTTACAATCATGATCGCCACGGGAATATAGAAACTTATGAGAGAAGAGGAGATCGCGTATTCTCTGCTCAGGCTGGAGTCGCAGTTTTCCTCCAGTTGCAGAGTTATGGAGGAGTTGTGCGCTCCGGCTGACGCGTCAGCAGTGGCTTTATGCCAGTTCAGCTGGACCGGTATGAATGAAATGAGTACAGACAGCGTCCAGGTGATGCTGATCATCACAAAGGCGACTCGCTGGGTCATTTTTCTCTCGTAGCGAAAGGGGCTGGAGATTGCCCAGTACCTATCCACGCTGATGATGCAGAGGTTGAGGATTGATGCGGTGGAGCACATTATGTCAAAAGCGACCCAGACGTTGCAAAAAGTGCCAAAGGGCCAGTAGCCTGCCACCTCTGCCACAGCTTTCCAAGGCATCACCAGCACAGCCACGAATAAATCCGACAGAGCTAGAGAGACTATGAAGATATTGGTGACTTTGCTCCGCAGGTGCCGAAAGCGCAGCACCGCAGAGCACACCAAGATGTTACCCAACAGAGTCCACAGGATGAGCAGGGACAGCAGGCAGCCCGTCACCGTCCGCACCACCATGTCCTTCCCTCCGTCGGCCGTCGCCTCCGTTTCAGTACTGTTCCACATGATCTCTCCGATGGGCGCCGGGATGGAGTCGATGCCCTGAACCGCAGAGAGATACTTAGCCGGGTTCTCCATTTCCTTCTCTTCAGGTAAAGCTGCAGTCAGTTTCTCCGTGCTTTCTGGCGGGTTCAGCTTTCAGCCGGTCGCCGAACTTTCCCCGATGACCCACTGGGCAGCTACATTGATGCGCAACGCAAGAGAGAGACAAATAAAGAGCGACGATCTTTAGAATTAAACCAAACAACGTATCCGATGCGCTCAGGGTGCCAAACGCAGCAAGCAGTGGAGAAAACATATTGGAAGCCCGGGCGGTCCGGTCGTGTGACCAAGTTCCCCCTATGGATCTGTCAGTCTAAGATATTCTGACCACAGTGTGGATGAGAAGGGAGTCCCTACAGCTTTTCTCTCTCGCTCTCTTTCTCTCTCTTGTCCTTACACACACAACCACCAACACACCCCCTAGCACAAGCATCTAACCGGGGCTTGGTGTATTTACCATTACACCACTTTTTGCGTGCTATTAGCGCACAACTGCGCACTGGGGTAACCAACAATTTTGCATCTTGGGATTGACCACTCCGAAGCGCCTCATTAAAAGCCCAGAGAAATGATATAAAGCCTTCTTCCAATTGTGTCTCATCCCTGCTTTGTTTAACTTTATGTAACATTAACTGGATAGAAATAATACCATAAAAAAGAAAAATTCTATCTATCTATCTATCTATCTATCTATCTATCTATCTATCTATCT